GCCAGTTGGGACCCATCTCCAGTTAGGATTTTACCATGTCACACCTTTTCCTACTAATCTCTTTTTCTTTGGCCTCTGGTAATCTTCAGTCTCCATGCCACATCATTAGAAGATACATTACTATGAAAGCTAGTTAACTTTAAAACAACTTTTTATTTTGAAATAATTATATGTTTACAGGAAGTTGCAAAGATAGTAGAAAGAAGTATCAACCAGTTTTCCCCAATAGTTATGACTTACATAATTAGAGTACAGGATCAAAACCAGGAAATTGGCATTGGCATAATGCACATGTGGCTTCATGCTTTTTTTTTTTTTGAGATAAGAGTTTCACTATGTCACCCTCAGTAGAGTGCTGTGATGTCACAGCTCACAGCAACCTCCAACTCTTGAACTTAAGCCATTCTCTTGCCTCAGCTTCCTGAGTAGCTGGGACTTCAGGCATGCACCACAACACTTGGTTATTTTTTGGTTGTAGTTGTCATTGTTGTTTTGGCAGGCCCAGGCTGGGTTTGAACCTGCGAACTCCAGTGTATGTGGCTGGCACCCTAGCTGCTGAACTATAGGCACCGAGCCATCCGTGCCCTTTTATCACCTGTAGATTGTATAACCAACACCACAATCAAGGCCACACAGATCTCCTCATGCCACCCCTTGCTAGTTATCCCTCCCCTTCTTCATTATCTCTGGCAATGCTAATCTCTTGTCCATCTCTATGATTTTGTCATTTTGAGAATTTTATATAAATAGAAGCACATAGTATGTGCCTGCTTGAAATTGGCATTTTTCACTTAGCATGATGTCCTTAAGGTCTGTCCAGGTTGTGTGTTGGTTATCCATTCCTTTTTATTGCTGAATAATATTCCCTGGTATGGCAGTACCATAGTTTGTTGCCAGTTTTTGGCTATTGCGAGCAAAGCTGCTATGAACATGAATGTGCAGGTTTTTGTGTGATATCAGTTTTTATTTCTCTGGGATGAGATTGCTAGGTTGTATGATAAGCACATATTTAATTTTTTAAGAAACTGCCAAATATTTTTCAGAGTGGCAGTAATACCATTTTACATTCCTACCAGCCATGCATAAGAGATTTGGTTTCTCTGCATCCTCACCAGCACTTAATTTTGTTAGTATTCTTTATTTTAGCTGATTTAATAGGTGTGTAGTGATACTATATCAAGGTCTTGCCTGCTTTTTCCCTGATGTCTAAGTGATCTTGAACATTTTTTCATCTGTTTATTTGCTATCTGGGTGTGTTCTCTGGTGAAACATCTTTGTATCTTTTTGCTTTTTAACTATTGGGTTTGAGTGTTCTTGGTATATTCTAATGAGTCCTTTGTCAGATATGTGTGGTTGGCAGATACTTTCTTCCAGTCTATAACTTTTCTTTTTAGCCTTCTAAAAGGGTCTTTTGTGGTACAAAGGTGGTTAGTTTTGATAAAGTCCAATTTATCAGTATTTTCCTCTTATAAGTCATGCACTAAGACCTTTTAACAAGCCTGAAGATACTCTTCTATGTTATAGTTTTACATTTTGAGATAATCTGGTATAAGCTGTGAAGTTTGGGTCAAGGTTATTTTTTATTTTTTTGCCTATGGACGTCCAGTTGCTCTAATACCATTTGTGGAAAAGACTATTCGTCCTCTATTTAATTGCTTTTGCATCTTTCTTTTTCTGCACTCAAAAATTAGTTGGCTTCATTTTTGTGGGGCTATCTCTTGATTTTCCCTTGATCTGTGTCTATCATTTCACCAGTACCAAACAGTCTTAGTTACTTTACACTAAAGGAGAGTGATAATTTCAACTTCCTTTATCGTCGATTTCTTTCATCAACATTTTATACTTTTCAGCATATAAGTCCTATACATATTTTGTTAAGAGTTATACTTATTTTAAGTGATTATTGATAGTATTTCAATTTTAGTTTTCACATGTTCATTGCTAGTAGCTACAAAAAAAAAAAATTACTCCCACTGCTTTGCTTGATTAGCCTAAAAAATGGCTTTTAATTGACTGTGTCAATTTCTTTTTTTTTTTGAGACAGAGTCTCACTATGTCACCCTCGGTAGAGTGCCATGGTGTCACAGCTCACAGCATCCTCCAACTCTTGCCTCAGCCTCCCAAGTAGCTGGGACTACAGGCACCTGCCACAACACCTGGCTATTTTTCATTTGTTCTTGTTGTAGTTGTCATTGTTGTTTTAGATTGCCCAGGCTGGGTTTGAACCCACCAGCCTCAGTGTATGTGACTGGCACCGTGACCACTGTGCTACAGGTGCCAAGCCTGACTGTGTTAATTTTTATGTCCTGCAACCTTGCTAGATTCATTTGTTTCTTCTAGGAGTGTTCTTGGTAGACCTTGGGATTTTCTATGTAGATCATCATTTCATCTGCAAATAGGTTTAATTTTTTTTCTGTCTGGTCTTTTATTTATTTTTCTTGGCTTATCCCACTGGCTAGAACTTTGAAAGTGGGCATCCTTATCTTGTTCCTGGTCTTAGAGGGAAAGCATTGTCTTTCATCATTATTTATGAAGTTAGCTATACATTTTTTGTTAGTGTTCTGTATTAAGTTGAGGAAGTTCTCTTTTCTATCTCTAGTTTGCTAAGAGTTTTTATTATGAATAGGTGTTAACGTTTTTGTTTGTTTGTTTTTTAAACCCATATATCTGTCTCTCCAGCCAGAGTCTGAGTTTCTGGAGATCAGACGCTGCTTTTTACTTAGTTTGTTTTCCGCATAGTACTTGGCTCAGTGTTTTTCCTTAATTTAGCATTGAACAAATGTCTGGATTGATAGAACTGGGCATGTCTAGTGGCAGACAGACAAGGCCATGAGGAGGGAATACTTAGGAACATTTCCAACCAGACGGTCCTGGTCATGTAGGTCTAGAGGAGAGATTATAATTGCTCTTTTTGGTCTTTGTGACATTTGATTCAATGGTTTGAGGCAGAATCGAGTTACAGGCACCAAACTGATGCTGCAACGGAGATATGAAAAGGGAAGAATTGATTCATCTCCTCTGCCATGATGAAAATGAAACATTTTAGGATAAGTGCTAATTAAAAATCACTGAGTTACATATTCTAAGTGGGTAAATTGTATGGTATGTGAATTATATCATGATAGATCTATTATTTAAAAAGAAATAAAAGGTTAAATGTTAGGTAGGCACCTGGCCCTGGTGTTCTTTGTCCTGGATCAGGTGCTGCTCTCAGTAGTTCCAAGTCCCAGACACTACACTGAGACAGGAAGCCTTTTCCAGGCAGGAAGACACGCACTTGACTGCCTTCTCAGAGTCTTCTGCTACTCTGCATGCACCCAGTGTTGATCACACAAGAGAGTACTCAGTATTCCCCCTCAGAACTCAGAAACTTTCATAGATCTTATTTGGCTGATTTTGAGACATTAATCTTAGAGTCATGAAGTAGACCTACTCACTGCACAGTGAGGCAGCTTTGGCTGAGACGGAGCATTTTTTCCAGGCTGGATGCTTTCCTAAAACTATTTTAGTTAGGCTGGTTCTCCATCCCCTTGACCCTGTCTGTGAGGTAAGAAAAGGGCAAAAATACTAACTTTATTTTTAACAGTGAGGAAATAAGCAAAAGAATGAAAAATATAGTTTCTCATCATCACAAACAATGGTAGCATTAAATCAGAAATGATCCCCTGGCTTCTGTTTGAGTGGGTGGTGTTCTTGGCTTGTGTTATATTTTAGTCTTTTCCTGTCTCATGACTGCTTACTGTATTTGTATGTTTTCCCACCCATTTTGAGTTGGAACAGTTATATCCTTCTGGTATTAAGGAGCTGCTAGATCTCAGTGATGATGAAAGTAGTAACACCAGGAGTACAAATAGTCGTATGTAGTACCCCATCTGTGACTTTGCTTTCCACAGTTTCAGTTATTCACTAAGATCCTAAAATAGGTGAGTATAGTACATTAAGATATTTTTGAGGGCAGTGCCTGTGGCTCAAGGAGTAGGGCACCAGCCCCACATACCAGAGATGGCAGGTTCAAATCCAACCCCAGCCAAAAACTGGAAAAAAAAAAAGATATTTTTGAGAGAGAGAGAGACTATATTTACATAACTTTTATTACAGTATATTATTATAATTATTCCATGTTATTATTGTTAATCTCTTTTTTTTTTTTTTTTTGAGACAGTGCCTCAAGCTGTCCCCCTGGGTAGAGTGCCATGGCATTACAGCTCACAGCAACCTCCAACTCCTGGGCTCAAGCGAGTCTCCTGCCTCCACCTCCCAAGTAGCTGGGACCACAGGCGCCTGCCACAACGCCCGGCTATTTTTTGGTTGCAGCCGTCATTGTTTGGCGGGTCCGGGCTGGGGATTCGAACGCGCCACCTTAGGTGTACGTGGCTGGCGCCTTAGCCGGTTGAGCTATAGGCGCCGAGCCTATTGTTAATCTCTTAATAATTTATAAGTTAAACTTTATCATAGATATGAATATATAGGGAAAAAGGTATACATGTTGAGTTCAGTACTATCCATGGTTTCAGACATCCACTGGGGGTCTTGGAACATATCCTCTGGACAAGCAGGGACTATTATAGTTGTTGTTGTTGTTTTTAAAACATCCTTTTTACTTCTGTGGTTTATTTTCCAGTGAGATTTGCTGAATTTGTTGCATCTTCTTTTCCCCAGTCACTTGTCTTCTTTCCAGTAGGTTTCAAATGAGTGATAGCAAAAAGCAGGCCTGTTTGTGTAGTATGAATGTATATCCATCTTTTTTACTTTTTTCAATATTTTTTAATGTAAGGGGTATGTTTGATTGGGTTTCATTGTACATCTGTCTTGATTAGGTTATGTTCCTAGGAGTTAAAACGTTTTACATCACACCAAACAAACCAATAGACAAATTTCTTGCAAATTTGGTAGCATTTGAATTTTCTGTTTTGTGACAATTGATGCCCGTATCATGTTCTCTATTGTGATTTAGTCTTTGGAATGCAATTAAATCCTCTTTTATTTCTTTTATTTCCTAGGGCTCAAGGGTTCTTGTCGATGCACGAGACAAGCTTGGTATTCCTTGGCAGTATTCTGAAAATGAAAAGCATGGGATGTTCCTGATGGCCTTTGAGAACAAGGCAGGGCTGCCTGTGGAGCCTGCCACCTTTCAGCTGTACGTCCCTGCTCTGAGTGCACTCTGGAGGGATTCTGGCATCAGGGAAGCTTTTAGCCGGAGGAGCGAGTTCCAATTGGTGAGTGAGCTTTCCTTTTGGGCTACATAACTGTGGGTTTTTTATATGACTGTTTTTGACCTTTAGTAGAATTTCCTTAAAAACCATATGGCAGGCTGGGCACCCATAGCTCAGTGGTTAGGGCACCAGCCACATGTACCAGGTCTGGTGGGTTCGAACCTGGCCCGGGTCTGCTAAACAAACAAACTAACTGTATGGCAGTACAGGTAAGCTGTAAATTGCTATAAATCCTAATATTCAATGACAAAAACACAAATTAAGCTAACTAAATTATTCAAGAGGGAGCAGAATTATTCACTCAGGCTAGATAAATACTTTTGTTTAAGGAACAAAAAGGATTTTTTTCTTATTAAAGATCGGTATAAGTCAAGGAACTCAAATCTTTTAGAAGATCTTGTTCATAGTAGGAAATTAATGCACCCTTAAAACAGTTTTCCAGCTTGAGGTATATGGATCTGGACAAATCATGAATGTTTGCAAAACAATGCCTTGGAATCTAATCTGACCCCTGCCAAGTTCTTCCTATCAAATTTGTCCTTTCATTTTAAGGTCTTAAAGTTTCAAAAAGGCTAGTCATGTCAGTCATTTAGACTCATTTAGGGAACATGCGTCTATAATTAGAAAATAGTGGGTATTTTACCTGTTTGCATTTTGGTGTCTACCTGATGACCTTTCAACATAATTGTATATAAAGAAAAGTATCTGATTTCTCCTATAATCAGGGTAAAGGTAATAGGACACAGCTAATACTAGTGCACCACCAGGGTATCCAGAAATGTACTGACTTTCACATCCCTTTGCCTCCTGAGTACCCAGTGTCTTTTTTTTTTTTTTTTTTTTTTTTGGAGACAGAGTCTCAAGCTATTTCCCTGGGTAGAGTTCTGTGGCATCATAGCTCATAGCAACCTCCAACTCTTGGGCTCAAGTGATCCTCTTTGCCTCAGTTTTTCTATTTTTTAGAGGTGGGGGTCTTACTTTTGCTCAGGCTAGTCTTGAACTTGTGAGCTCAAGCTATCCACTTGCCTCAACCTCCCAGAATGCTAGGATTATAGGTGTGAGCCACGGTGTCCAGCCTGTACCCAGTGTCTTAAATTTTAAGTCTTAGTCCTTTTCTTCCTTTAATTTCCTACTATGAACAAAATCTTCTAAAAGATTTGAGTTTCTTGACTTATACCAATCTTTAATAAGAAAATGCTTTTGTTATAATATATATTTATTTTTAAACAATATAGTCTTGAGTTTAATGGTTTTCAAACTTCATAAATATGTAGCGTATGTATTCTTCTATCACTTACCTTTTTTCCTCAACTTGTTGAAATTTATTCACATGGTGCATGTAGCTATGATTCTTTCATTTACTGCTGTCTGATACTCCGTTGTACAGAGACACTAGGATTCATCCTTTTTTTCATCAGTGTACTTTTCAATTATTTTGCTATTACAAATATACTTGGTTATCTCCAGATGCACATGTTCAAGGGTTTCTCTAGAATGTGTACCTTGTAATAGAATTACTGGGCCACAGGGCATGTATATCTTCAAATATACAAGATGCTGTCAAATTATTTTCCAAAAGCATTGTACCAATTATGCTTCTATCAGCAGTAGAGAAGCATTCCTGTTATTCTTTACTCATGCCAACATTTAGTGTTACCACACTTTGTAATTTTAAATATATCCTATTGTGATTTAATTGAAATTTCCCTGAATATATTTACTGACCATATGTGTTTTTCTTCTGGCAAATGCCTATTTGTGTCTTTTGTCCACATTTTTCTACTGAGTTATTTTTCTCATTTCATCTGAGAGGTTCTGCATATAGTACAGTTTCCATATACTCCTTTTATTATTATTATTACTATTTTCTTTTCTTTTCTTTTCTTTTTTTTGAGACAGAGTCTTACTCTATCACCCTGGGTGACATAGCTGGGAGTCATAGTTCACAGCAACTTCAAACTCTTGGGCTTGAACAATCCCCTTGCCTCAGCCTCCCAAATAGCTGGGGACTATAAGTGTATGCCACTATGTCTGACTAGTTGCTCTATTTTCAGTAGAGACAGGGTCTTGTTCTTTCTCAGGCTGATCTTGAACCTGTGAGCTCAGGCAGTCCACTCACATCAGCCATCCGGAGCACTGGGATTATAGGGGTGAGCCACCATGTCCAGCCAGTTTCCATATACTTGTTACTGAATTTACCCTACTGTTAACATCTTATACAACCATAGCACAATATCAAAGTTAGAAAGCTGAGATTGGTACAATACTATTAATTAAACTATAGACATGGCTCGGAGCCTGTGGCTCAAGTGGCTAAGGCGCCAGCCACGTACACCTAAGGTGGTGCGTTCGAATCCCCAGCCCGGACCCGCCAAACAACAATGATGGCTGCAACCAAAAAATAGCCAGGTGCTGTGGCGGGCGCCTGTGGTCCCAGCTACTTGGGAGGCGGAGGCAGGAGACTCGCTTGAGCCCAGGAGTTGGAGGTTGCTGTGAGCTGTAATGCCATGGCACTCTACCCAGGGGGACAGCTTGAGGCTCTGTCTCAAAAAAAAAAAAAAAAAAAAAACTATAGACATTATTGAAATTTAACATTTTGTCTTCTGTCCTTGTATGCCAGGATCTGGTACAAGATCCCCCCTGTGTTGTCATATCCCCTTAGTCTCTTCCAGTATGTGGCAACCTCTTAGTCTTTATCTTTCATGAGCTGGATACTTAAAGAACACTGACCAGTTACTTTGTAGAATGTGCCTATTTGGGTTTGTCTGATGTTTTTCTCATCATTAGAATGAGATGATGCATTCTGGGACAAGAAAACCACAGAAACGATGTTGCATCCTGCCCCAAACATCAAATCAGAATGTGCATAATATCCGTATGGCCACTTACTGGTGATGTGAGCCTCAGTTGCTTGGTTAAGGAAAGTTTTTATTTTTCTCTATGTTGTTAATATGTATCTTGAAGAGGTATACTTTGAGACTATGCAAATGCCCTGTTTCTCCTCAAGCTTTTGCCCATTAATTTTAAAATCCATTAGGGGATCTTAAAGATGACCTTTTTGCTAATAACCCTTTTTCATCTGCACATTCTTCCACAAGTTAACTTGACAGTTAAAGTGAAAGAGTCAAAAGAAGTAGATGATGTGGTTGCCAGAAAGGAAATTTTAATCTAAAGGGCAAGAATGTAAGAAACAACTAGGTAATGCAAATTAATATCTGAGTGTGCAATTAGGGGGTTAAGTCTTTTTCCCCTCATAAACTCACATGATATGGTAGAAGATTTTAATCTATTCAGAATTTGGATGGAAATGGCTACTGTCAATTGACGATTTACTGAAGAAGGAAATATAAATATCCAGAGCTGATTATTTGCAACTAATATTTAGTAAGAACTACATCTAGGATATCAGTATGATGGAATGGCTTGGTCAGAATTTTGTCCTTTGCCTTATTCCATTGGATATTGGATTATAGAGCTAGGAGGACCCTCCCAGCTTGATAAATCAATCCCTTGCATTGTCACAGACATGGAAATGAGCCCAGAGAGGTCGTGGCTTGTCCAAAGATCCATCTTCTTGGTAATCACTGTGAGAAATTTGGGCCTCAAAATCTCATCTGCTTATTTCTCCCTATAGTCATTTATTCATTCAACACTTATGTAGCACCTACCATGTGTGCCTATCCCCAGAAAGCTTTTAATCCAGATATAAATTCAGCAAATGATTAGGGTAAGGTGGGTGCAAGGTGAGTTAGTAATCATCCCTTTGTTTTGATCTTAGTGCTTTAAACAAGACTCTTTGAAGATATCGCTAACTGAAAACATTGTTCAAGTCAAAGACAGAGTCTCAAGCTATTTCCCTGGGTAGAGT